GACAATAATAATAATAATAATAATAATAATAATAATAATAATAATAATAATAATAATAATAATAATAATAATAATAATAATAATAATAATAATAATAATAATAATAACAATAATAATAATAATAATAACAATAATAATAATAATAGTATTAATAGTAATAGTAATAACCATAATTAATAATAATAATGCTAACAATTAATCTCGGTAATTACTTCAAATCATAATGATTATCAATAATTACTACAAATTATAAATTTTATTTACACTATTCGATATCATTTATACAAATAACATGAAGAGCAAACGACATCTGATTATTTAAAGTTACAGTAATCTATGTTAACTAAAAATTCCACATGTAGAATGACATGAAGACACAGTTTTTTATAACAAAAAACTTTATTTTACTTTATTTTAATTCGACCAAAATGTTTTTTTAAAACTTTTAATCACTGATATTTACTATCATAATATTGCTAATTCATTTACAATATCATCAAGTAATTATGTACGATTATTCCGGTAATTAAAATAAGAGATATTTGATATATTTGAAATTTTTACTATAATCAAAATTTCAATGATTATAAATAGCAATTATTAAATATTATAAATTAAATTTGTTATTCTTTTTCTAAATATATCAAAAATATTTGCAATTTTGAGTGTAAATAATGAAACGGAAATGATGCTAGAAAGAATGCCATCAATTGGAAATTACCGCTTGCCGTCATATTTGAAAAAAAATTTAAATTAACTATCTTGAGTAACAGTTGTTGATTTGTTGCATGGTGATCGAGAATTTGCTTTTATCGAAAAGGCATTCATCGCTTTGTTTTTTTTTTTACATCATTTTAATTAAAAGTGACATTCTTAATTACACATTCTTAATTAGAATTTAGAGATGTATAAGTTTATTGTGCTTCAAAATTAACGCAAAATTTGAATTTTCAAAAAAAGTGAAAAAATAAAATTGAAAATTATTTGAATAATTGCAAATATCTTTTTAAAAATTATAAAATCTGAAAGTTCAACATATTTTCAAATTCAATTACCAACTTATCTCTGTTAATTAAGCTTTTTTTTTTTAAAAAATAAACGACCAATATTGTGATTTTATATAATAATAGGCTTATATTCAAGAATTGTCATTATTTATTTGTAGTATACTTTTTCATCTAAAATTGACTTTTTGCCTAAAACCTCGAAACTTTTACTTGAAATTTTATGAAATAAACTAAAATGTGTCATTGATGAATTAGTAATATTTCATTTGATGGATTTATTTTGAAAACAAATTATTCGCTTTTATTATGAAAAAAAAAAAAAAACGAAAAAAACATATCAAATAGTAAATCTTTTAAAAATAAAAAAAAAAAACCTTAAATAAATGTGAAAATTTAATTGAATGAAATTTTAGCAATTAGAAATACAAAATGTACAAGATCTATTATGTTATCATATAAACACAATCAAATCGAATAATTCGAAAATTTCATCCTCGAAATCGAAAAAAAATTTTTTCCAGGTGAATTGCACATATATTTCGAATTTCAGATTTTAATCATTAAATTATGTAATGTAAGAAGGTAGATATTTTCGTCTACATTCCATAGACTATTTTACAAATTCAGATATTACTATAATTTAATCCCAAGAATTGATGTACTAGAATGAATTAATCCTATCAGTTCAAATACTAAACCCATTTTAACTTCCACAATTTCATCATCCACTGCAAGAATGCAATCACAACTGAATAGTTCAATTTCAAGAATTCAGATATTGAAGTATAACTCTAAAGAGATTAAATATTGGAATAAATCATTTTTGAGAATTTTATCACTTCATAGAAATGTGATACTAAATTCAAAACTGATTAAGATAATCCAATTCTAACGGTTCAGATATTAAAGTAATTGAATTGTTAATAACAGTTTATTTCGAACTGCTTTACAATTAATCATATCGGAAAAAATTTAGTGCATTATATTCTTTATTTCATTTAATCCATTTATAAAAATTTTAATTCAAATTATAGCAAACAACAATGATTTGTATGTTATAAATAATAGCTAATATTTAAAATTTTATCCCTGTTTTCCGAATGTTTTCATTCATATTTATATATATATATATATTTTCCATATTCGAAATTTTGTCCCTATTTTCCGGATGCATTCATTCCGGTATTTACAAATGTTATCAGCTCATTATTATATTTACGAAATAGTTGGGTTTCAAACTAGTCTTTCTAAATTTTTTGTTCTTTCCTATACCAAATTTTACTTTTTCCCTTATTTCAGTTTTTTTTTCTGTTCTTATTTTGATTTTTGATTAATAAACCTTTAAAATTTTATCAAATATTTTCATTTCGTGAGTTTTTTTGCATAAATTTTTAAATCTTTGAATGAATTTATAGTAGGTGGCATAGCAATTGTCATACTATCAGCTTTACTATGTATCATAATAACCATATCAATAAGTGGTATTGTTCAAATGGTGAATGAAAAAAAGATGAATGAATATCATGGTTTATTTAAATGATAAAATTTATTGAGTGTAAGTAAATAATCGATGCTGTAATCATATCACTTATCTACTGTGTGCTTATCTTTTAAAGCAAATTTATACACTTCCTAAAGTACTGAAGGCATATATACTAAGAAATAAACAAATATATTTGTGGTAAAATTGTTATGATAAGGTGATTAAAATTACAAGAGTTCTCTTTTTTGTTTTTAAAATTTAAAAATCGTTACGAAAAATTTAAAAATTTATTAATGTATCGTGAAATAATTGATACTATTATATTTTCATTTCGGATCATTGGGTCCAGAATTTAGTGTAAGTACTGGGCAATTTTTGCCGTAGCAAATGCAATAATGGCATCATTGTATGTTGTAAGTGCAACAGATACAATCGTTGATTTGATGAATGAAAGTGGTTTTAGCACTTTGATTAAATCAAAAATTAACGATGTTCATCTTTTTGGTATCGATAATTTGGGAGTTTCATATTTACCCAGTAAACTGGATTTAAGGAAAAAAAAAGCATTAAAAAATTTGGGTAATTTTATGGGTATCGAAACTATTGAAATGGTATATAATAATAAGAATTGTTTAACTTTTGCTACGATCGATGGATTAAATCTTTACATATTAATAGCTATGTAATTATGCAATTAATTCATCATATATTAGTAGCTATGTAATTATGTAACTAATTATGTGATTAACTCTTTACACACCTATAGTTCTTTATATATATTAATGTGCCATGAATTTCATCAAAATTAAAAGTTTATATTTTGACTTTCTTAACTTTTTCTATCATTTTTTTAAAAAAAAAAAGCCAAAAAAATTCAATTAGTACTATTGGTCAAATCTTTCGATTCATTAATTTTTTTTTTTTTTTAATAACAAATACAAAAGAAATTTCATTTGATGAAAATATCATAAATTTTGATTAACATTTTGCAGTAATTTGTAATTTGTTTAATTCTAATGTTAATAACATTTGCTGGACAAAGTATTGAAGATACTAATGCATTATTCATGTTTTCTCTCTATCATTTATCATCTATTGATTGGTGCTACGGATCATTGTTATTATCACTAAATGATAAGCAAAAATTACGCGGAATGACTGGCTACAATATTTAAGTAAATAGTCTCTACAAAAAATTTATTTTAACATAATTTCAAAATATGAATAATTAAAAAAAAGCAAGAAATGATTTTTGGTAGAATAATTGTTCAAAAATTTGTAAAATAATACTTGATTATCAGTAATGAAAACATTACTTAACAAGCAATACTAATATGTGATATTTAATTAATAAAAAAAGATCCTATAAATGTAAAAATTTCTTTTTTTGATCGAATTATTAAATTATTGAAATTTTTCAATTTCAAAAGTAGGAACGAAAAATTTATCTTATTTTAGCAGCAACGATATCGGAAAATTTATATCCTGCTTGGCATAATGACAATTTTATTTCCCTATACGCTATCTTCTTTCCGGACCGGACTTATGGTTGGATCAATGTTTATCAGCAAACTTAAGTGAACTTAAGGTAAGGTAATTATTCTTACACTTAAATAACAATATATCTTTGCGATTCAAATAAATCAATAAAACAATCCACTTTTTTTTTCATTTAATAGAATCAAGCATATGATGTACCGGTTGGAATGTTCACAGCAATTGGTATTTGCATCCTGTATAACCTAATCGGTATTTTCATTCCGGCAACAATGCTTTGTGCTGTTTCCGGTGATACCAGTATTTAATAATATAACATATATTTGCGAATCATTTCCATCTGCGATTAAATCACATATACAATTATTGTCGGAAAAACTCCGAAAGTCATAACGCGAAATTGAAGCAATGAAGAAGAGATGATACTGCTGCTACAAGCAATAAAAAGGCGATACTATGCGCCCGTTGAGCCTATGTTGTCGCGAATCCCGATTCGCGAGACTCCAATCATACTTCAAACAAACAAATCAGATAAATTTGTTGTAAATGAATATTCCAAGTGTTGTGAATCATTCAGCAAAATTTACATCCTTAGATTTATTTCCCACTTCAATTCCCATATTTTTTCCTTTATGTCTGAGCACATGTCTTTGTTTAGAAATGCCTTTGTTAGCAATTGCTTAAAATATCTAAATTCACATCTTAAACTCCTTTGTTCTTGTTCCCCCAAAAAAAATTCACATCCTTCTCGTTTCGATCTCCCAAGATGCTTATGCTGTAATTTAACGTTACAGTTTCCAGCCATAATAGCAAAACCACTCCCACTTTTTCCGTATATAAGCGGTATTGAGTGAACCAAAGGCTTTCTTTTTGGACAATCAGTTCTTCATTATACTCGATCAGTTTGGATTATTCTTTTTTTTTATTCTATTATCTACCAGATTGTGTCGTTTTTATGTACCTTACCCTTGACAAGTAAAGAATCAACTCTTGTCTTTGTCCACAACGTACGACACACGAACATCATCC